GTAGCCCTTCTGGTTGGATTATCTTGGATTTTTTTGTCTTATAGGCCAGGCATGGATCTTAGTGAAGGTATTAAAGAACAAATAGTATAAGAATATTATGAAATTCTCTACAGTGACTCTCTACAGTGACTTTAGAAATTTTCTTTTAGTGAATGTAACTTATTGTAATAACAAAGACATTTATAATAAAATAACAGGAAGAGTTACAATAAAGTGGTGAAACAGTGTCAAGAGAAGCGGGGTGAGTGTCTAGGAGAGCTGGAGGCCCTCGAAGTACTTAGTGAGGGACTTCTGTGGCCCTTGTGCATATTTAGGATGTATGTCTTCTCTTGGGACCCTTCAGGTGTCTTACAGAAAGCCCTTGCTCTTCATGTCTCCTACTCTCCTTCCAAAGTATCTCTTAATTTGAAATAAATCATGCTTCATTTATGTAGCCTCTGTCAGACGCATATTAAAATGAATTATTTTTATCTCCCCCTCTACCTGACACAAATTCTTAACCTTTCATTGCCTAATGAAATGTTTAGTAATCCTATCTTTAGTGTGCCCAGTATGAAGGGAGATTTACTAATCTCTAGTCCTCAGACTTCTTTTAGAACCCCCGAAGAAGAGGAATCATATTAGCAAACTGCTCATCCTTTCTCACTGCTTTAGGAACTGCTTGGTATTTGTAGCATAAGTTGTATTTGTTTGGCAGATGTCCCACAGTTTCACCATTGAATCTCTATGATATTTTCTGGACCTCTATCATTATTATGTTCTTGATTTGTTAAACATCCTTAGAATTTAACTGCAGTTAGATCAACTAATTACAACCTGTCTCAGAAGTCTTAGAATTGAGAATCTTCCCAACATTTCCATTTGTAAAAACCAAGACAAAAAAAAAAAAATGTAATCGTGTATTTTTATTTATGAACATACCTTTTTACATCATCATTCTCAGGCTACTTCACTAAATATCCTGTCACTTTATTTATTTTGATATATGTAAAGTATGTTTTAAAATCTTAGGGTTGATGTATTCTGTTTTCTTTCACTAAGTATAGTTTTTAGTCATTCAAAGAATTTTTCATCTAATACTTAGACAACTTTATTAGATGCCTAAGGTTTTCTTTTTTAATATTTCTTGGTATTTTAATAAATTATATGCTCAGTAATGTCAACTAATAACATTCTAAACTGTGGTTGGGATTGAAGCTACATCTAGCTGGCTTGTGCAGTATTCAGTTTAAATCGCTTTCTAAATATTTACTTTCTAAATATTTTATGTTACTTTCTAAATATTTACAGAATCCCGATCTCTTTTAGGGCCATGTGAATTATATAATATTTTATTTTCATGAGGATAAAAAAATTAATATAAAATGGGGATGATAATACCTCACTTATAGGGTTGTTATGGTGATTGAAGGGGATGGCACGTTTAAGATCCTGGCACATACCTCATGTTAGTTCCAGCGCTTTCCTCTGCACGTGTCCCCTACATTTTAGGTTATTATGATCACTATAGAATTATACCTTTTAGCTATTTAATGATTCTGGATTCTCCAAGTGACTTAAATTTCCTAGTAAGAGCTTTTATATTATCTCCATTACATATGTTTTATTTTTCAGGGGTTAATAATACATTTAAAACTTGAAATTTCTAAAATGCAAAACTTATACATTAGTCATTAGCTTACCTTTTAAATCGCATTTCACTATCAAGAATTCTTACTTGTACTTGAGGACTTTATATTATTATAGGACTGTTTATATTGAAACTAAAAAAACAATCTTTTTGAGGTACTAGGAAACCGTTTTGCGTATGATCCGTTCATTTTCTCTTCCAGAGTTGCTGTTCTCCTCTGATGTGGAAGAATACCCTGATAAAGATAAAGGACTCAAAGCCTCTTCATAATGCCAACTCACTTACAGAGGAATAATAACCCAGTATTTAGAATTTTTCCCATTCTTGTTTTTATTTTAATTTTAATTTCATTTCATTTCATTTCATTTACCCCTATAGCACCTGGTCTTCCATCCAAGTACTAACCAGGCCCGACCCTGCTTAGCTTCTGAGATCAGACGAGATCGGGCACATTCGGGGTGGCATGGCCATAGATCTATTCTTGTTTTTAAATGTATTTTTATAAGATATGTACAGGTGTATTTGGAATTGATATTTTTTATTATAAAATACCAAAAAAATTCTCAATTATGGAAAAGGTTAAAATTGCAAATTTATAAACATTAATCTCAATAGCATTATTATCTTAATGACAAAGGAGATAATGAGCTAGAAACCAGTAGGTGAAAATGTTTATTTCCTATTCTCTCAAATTAGTTGCATTTATAATCATTATCTTAAAAAGCAGTAATACAGAAGAAGCCATAACTTTAGGATTACAAAATATATGTCAGGTTTAAACATAAATTTAGGGAATAAGGAAAGGAAAAAAAGACCTTCATTATTTTTTTTTGATGTCTCCTTACTGAATTAATTGAAATATATAATTTGTCTTGTGTATCATTTGGTTGTGTATCATGTAATAAGTAGAATGTAATGTAATTTAGCTTGAAAGATGATTTACTTCATGGCTAATAAAAAGGAAATGTATCTTTTTTGTTTGAAAAATTTTATAACTGAAAAAGTTTATTTTCCTTTAAAACCTATACCAGTGGTTCCTATATATTGTTGTGCATCAGAATCATTTAGGGAGCTTTAAAAAACATATGTAGCAAAAGAGAAGCTGAGCAGGCTAAGGGCTCAGGGAAATAAAGGAGAGGCTAGTGAGCTTGTTAAATTAACAGTTAGTTGGCCTCTGCAGAATGTGTTCCTCTGCCTCTTTTTTTGCAGGACAAGAAATATGAATAGAAATTCACCATGCCTATTCTTAAGCTCTTTGTCAGAGAGATCTTTGGCTCTCAAGAAAATCCCACTCTTGAAGTGGTCCTGCACTGGAAAGGTGTCTTAAGAGCTGTATCCAGTGGTGCTCAACTGGTATGAGACAGTAGAGCTCAAGACAATGATAAGACTCTCTATGGGAAAAGGCTTCTCAGAGGCTCTCAAGCACATCAATGAAACTGTTGGACCTGCCCTGATCAGCAAGCAGCTGAATATTGTGGAGCAGAAGAGGACTGACAAATTGAAGATAGAGATGGATGGCTCTGAGAATAGGTCTAAATTTGGTGTAAGCACCATAGTAGGAAAGTCTTGCTGTCTGTAAGGCTGGAGGTGCTGAAGGGAATTCTCCCTGCTGTCACAGAATTATAAATCTGCTGGCATCCTGCCAGTTCCAGCTTTCATTGTGATCAATTAGCAGTAAGCTGATTGTGCAGGACTTAATGATCCTCCCTGTCTGCAAACTTCAGGGAAGCCATGGGGCTCAGAGCTGATGCTTACCATACCTGGACAATGTTATCAAAGAGAAATATAGGAAAACCAGTGTTGGAGATTGACATTGTGGTAGGCTGAATAATGTCTTCCAAAGCTATCTGTATTCCAATTTTTGGAACCTTCCATGGCAAAAGGGATTTTGCAGATGTTATTAAGGTCGTGAAACTTGAAATGGGGTAGATGATCCTATATTATCAGAGTGGGCCCAGTGTAATCACATGAGTCCTTAGAAGCAGAGAACCTTCTGTCATCATAGGATGATGGAAGAAGGGTCAGAGAGCTGTGATGTTGCTGGCTTTGAAGGAGGAAGAGAGAGACACAAGCCAAGGAATGTGGGTGAACTCTAGAAGCTGAGGACAGCCCTTGACTGACAGGCAGCAGGGAAACGGATATGGGCTCTGTCCCACATCTTTTAAGGAACCGAATTCTAGCAACATCCCAAATGAGGACAGAAACAGATCCTCCCCTGGAACCTCCAGAAAGGAATTCAGCCCTACTGACACCTTGATTTTAGCATGGCAAGACTCATGTCAGACTTCTGACATACAGAACTGTAAGATAACAAATGCATATTGTTTAAATGCTAAGTTTGTGGTACTTTGTTGTAGCAATAGAAAGTTAATACAAGGTTGAAGGGAGTTCTGCTCCCAACATTTTAGAGAATAAAAATGCTCTGGAGCTGCTATGGAATGCAATTGGAAAAGCTGGCTACTTGGTAACTTGTAACTGGTGTGGACATAGTTGCCTTTGGGTTCTTCAGCTCTGGGAAGTATGACCTGGCTTTCAAATCTCCCAATCCCTGAACAACAGCTGGTTGACCTGAATAAATCTTTCACCAGAGAAAACCCAGTGGTGTCTGTCAAAACACCTTTGGCCATGATGTGGGGGAAACTTGGAGGAAGTTCATTGTCTCACAATCATTTTTCTCACCTTTCTCCTTGTATCAAGTGTGGGTAGAGCAATATACTTAGTAGAGTTTCTGAGCTGTTGACAGACAATCCCCAGTGGAGTTTTTGGTTTTGGTTTTTGGGGGATGCAAAATAAAGTGTCCAGTAATACCTGCATCTCCCCACTCCCTTCAAAGCAGAAAAAAGCATGTATAGACTTCTACACCCCATCCCCAGAGATTCAGATTCAATATGTGTGAGGTGGTGCCTGAAAAACTATCTTTTAGAAAAAGGTACTCCAGGTTATTGTGATGTACCAAGTTGATTAGCCAGCATTTGGGACCTCTGGCCTTCACATTACCATTTGTAATCTATTATGAAACATAAAGTTTGGATTGAGATAGATGCTTTGATCTGTGCGAGGGCAAAAATATGAAAAAGAATAAATAAAACTTGGTTCTTGCCTTCTAGAGGCTCATAATCTATTCAGAAGGCAAAGATAAATATAAGACTTATATCCAGAAAAGTACTATAAATCATAGTATATTATCTTTTGGGATTAATTTTTTTCTACTCAGCATAATTCTCTAGAGATTCAACCAAGTTGTGTATGTCAATAGTTCACATAGTTCACCCTTTTTTATTGCCAAGTTGTATTCCAAGGTACGTATATGTCTGGCAGTTTAACTATGTACTTACGGAAGGACATCTGAGCTGATGCAACTTTTTGTCTGTGAATAAAGCTGCTATGAACATTTGTGTATAAGTTTTTGTGTGAATGTAAATTTTTATTTCTCTGGGATAAATGCCCAAGAGTACTATTGCTGAGTTTTATGATAGTCATATGTTTAGTTTTTTTTAAGAAACTGCCAAACTGTTTTCGAGAATGGCTGTACCATTCTGTATTTCCCCCATGACACTTTTTTTTTTGAAGAGTCCAGTTTTGTTTTAGAATGTCCCACCTACATTTTATATTTATTTCATATTTTTCCTTACAGCATCATTCAGTTTGTTCTTCTGTCTCCTGAATTTCCTGTAGACTGGAGGCTAGGTCTAGAGATTCGATTAGATCTAGGTTAGATATTTTTTATATTACATCTCATGAACTGTAAAGTCATAGACTGTGCTGATAGGCAGCAAATCTCATTGGCAAAGTGGTTAAACACATCACAGACCCAAAACAACAGCAAACTTGTATTAAAGGCCTTGGGCTATAAAGCCATAGCCCTGAAGATTGCAAGTGGCTGGTGAGGTTCCTGCCCCCAAAGAACTCTATCTTTTGAAATTGACAACTAATTGAAATAGTGTGAGCCCACTAATGAGATATACCAAGTAGTAGCTCGAAGACCGGTTAATTCTGCATCCGGGATATGTGTATGGGTTTATAAAACTTAACTGAAAGCTGAACTTTGAGTTTGCCCTTGAATAAAAGAAAAATAAATTCCAAATAGAATAGCAGTAAATAATGATCCTAAGGTAGCAGAGTGTATTTGGCAGGCCCTGGTTTCCATCTTAAAGACTTCAAATATATGGCCAATAAAGAAGGTCTGAAGTTTTCTCATTTTATTTTCAAAGTAATCCGTATTTTTCAACTTTAAAGGTAAAGCAATAGAAAGGGTGGATGACAGCAGATGGGGAGAACCATAAGTAAACCATTACTGATCGGTGTGAGATATCCTAAACTGGGTGCATAAAAAGAGTAGAAAGCGTTCAAATATTTAGTTAGAATTCAAAAATGTGAAGTTTTAAGCTTTTGTGGATATGACACTGCTATATTAAATGAGTTTGGAACATTCTAGAGGTCTGGGAGGGAAGATGAATATTAACGTGTTATAAGTCTATGGGACAGAAAAGATGTCCGAGTAGACTGTTGGAAATATAACATCTGAAGCTCAAGGGATAGTGTACGAAAATGATGACTGATATTGTAAATTTCCCAGAAAGAACTGATACACGGAGAACAAGGCTTACGATGTGTTAAGGGGCAGATAAGGAAACCAACTAAGGTTTTCAATCACCTTGTCGAGGAGCCCTGTGGTCCACCAGCACGCTCCAACTTCTTTCTAAGGGAGCCCGAAATGGCAAAGCAAGAGCTTGCAGCTGACTCTCCAGGCTCCCTAAGCTCGCGCCACCCCAAAGCCAGCCCTATGTAGCACCCGGGCCTAAATATGCAGGTCGCGCAGTGCTGTGCGCGTGCGCAGGGAAAAGCGCGGGGAAAGCAGCCAGAGGGATGCGCCTGCGCAATAGCAGGCTGTCGGTTAAGCACAGACCCACCCCCCCAGAGGACGAAAGAATAGAACTGCCCAAGGAGATGGCCAAGGTTTTCAAAGCCGCAGATAACCGTGGCGGGCGGATCCGATCCCTGTTCATAGACCCTGTACTTCAGGGGAGTTCCCGTTCCCACATGGGAACCACGCCCAACAGAGGGGCGGAGTTTCCTTCGAGCCGTAACGCCCAGGAGCATGGCAAGACCACGGATCTGCCGAAGGACGAGGCCAAGGAGGGCACTGGATTCTGGCTGCTGAACGTGAGTGGGGGCCCCGGCAGCGGAGCCTGTTCCCTACCCAACCACCTAGATAGAGGACCAAGAAAGACAAAGGGGTCAGTGCATGCAGATGAGAGGGAGGGAGACCTGCCCTAAATTGGAAGGTAATAATACTTGAGAAAGTTTGCTTGTGGGACCTTGCCAATTATTAAATTTGTCAGAGCTCCGTTTTATTAACTAGTAAATGAAGACAATGATTACTACCTACCTTGTAGGGTTGTCTGAAGAATCAAAGGAGGTAGTGATATAAAGAACTTAACAAGTGCAAAGCACAAAAAGTCAATAAATGTCAGCTGCTGTCGTCCTCCTCCACCCCGCCCCTCCCCCCATTTATGGGATTAAAGGGCTAAACTCTAGAAACTTTAGTTACCTTTTTAATTCCTGAGGTTCTTACAGATGAACCTGTAGGAACAAATCTGTATCATGTCTGCAAAGTGAACTCCTGTTCTTGATTAGAAAGGTAGATTTATATTAGAAATGTGTGAAACTCTTTGAGTTTGCCATTCCTGCCAGAGGATGGAGGAAATGGAAAAGCAGAATCAAGGTGAAACTCACTTTTTCAAAGAAGATTATTAGATTTTTACAGGCTCCGTTGGCCTTAAATTTTTTAAAAATAGGACAGATATAAGTGTTTATCAGGAAACAAATGGTTTACAAAAAGATGAAGTCCTCTATAGAATTAAGGAGTTGAATTACTTTATCTCTACAGTACCTTAATTCCAAGAACTTAGAATATTCTTCACTCATTGTTATGATAAGAGCATATTAGGATTTAAGTATAGGATACTAGGAAAAATTGCAAAGTTTGTATAAGAGAGATGAACTTGTAAATTGAGACCATAGAAGGTGTTTTTTGTGTATCCTCTTAAAGGATTTGGACTTTATTCTGTAGAATGGTGGTGTCTAGTATTTTTTGAGTATGAGGGTCCCTTTTAATTGTAAAAAAAAAAGAAAGAAGAAATCTCCACACATAAGAAAAGCTTGCTCTGACTGGGCAAATCTATAATGACAAAAAGTTACCACGTGGCAGTGTTTTTAATGGAATTTGCTTGTAGATACAACAGCATCTACATTCAAAAAAGAGTAGTGTACCTATATGCAAGATACATTGTTTACCCAAGTTGGTTTCCCAAATCATTTGACCATAGAATATTTTAATGTTTTGACAGGACAACAGAAAGGGCTTAGAAAATGAAATGTGCACTTGAATTTAGTTATACAGAACTCATAAAGGATTTATTTTCAGACACAGGTCCAGAGGAATGAATTTGCGTAGTGTAGATGTTTATTATACAGTAAACTTAGAGTAATATCATTATCGTATGTTATTAAAATCATTATAACAGCTACTATTAGATATGCGATGTAGATCTTTGAACATAGAATGGATGACTCTCTTCAATTTAGTGAATACTGCCTATACATTAGTTCACAGATAGAACATTATATATTTGGGCAACAAGTTTTCTTTTTTTAATTTGACTTCTTGGCTCTTTTGTGTATGGCACAATTTCTTGAAAGTGGATTATCGTAGGGTTATAAAAACAGCTACATAAGTATGTTTAGCATTTTCTGTACACAATACATAGTTTTTAAAAAACTTGGAAGCAAATATATCTCTCAGATATGTCTCACATCTCTCAATACATTTGGAAAACAGCAGTTTGCAGATAGTGCTTGAAGCACATTAGAATTCAAGGATATTTAAAGTTCAGAACCATTGCTGTAGGTGATAGGGAAAGCTGGAGGGTTTTAAGCAAGGAGATGACATGGATCAGATGTGCTTTGCTGAAAAAATTGTTTTGGGTGTCAGGATAGAATTTAAGAAGAGATTAAAGAAATATTAGAGAGCGAGGACAATAAAGTAAGATCTCTGAAGGGATGGAAAAGTATGGGCTCTGGAGCACTTGGATAGGAAGAAGGGCATTTCTTCCTCCAGACCAGTGTTTTATCCTTAGATCACTGGTGTCCAGATCTTCTGAGGGTTCTTCTTGAAACCTAGATTCCTGGTCCTCTCCCTTAAATCTACTGAATCCAAAGGGTGGGGCGCCAGCAATATGCTTAAATTTTTTAACTATCTCAAATGATTCTCAGATTCATCACTGAGAATTACTATAGAAAGAGGGAAAAGGTGGGCATTGATATGGGCATTATAGATTGAGAGTGCGGGCTGGAGAAGGAAGCAAGCAGAGCCAGAAGAGTTTGGTGAACTGAGTGAAAGAAAAAGGAGGAGGAGTAAGCAATTGGAGGTCTCAATGAGACTTTTCAAAAGGTATATTAAATACCAGTTACTAAGAGAATTGGAAGGATTAACTAGAGATAGTGCTCAGATTGAGGAATATTGTCGTTTTTTACTTTAGTGAAAATGTGGATGATCTACCCTGCACCTTAATGTCAGTTCTTTGAATCTTCTTAATTCCTTTCAGTAGCTCACTGCTCTTCTACATTTTGGACCTTGTCTTTACTCTGAGGGTTTCACCTCCCAGATCGTGAAATCCAGTATGTTACTTCCTAACCTCTCATAAGTTTACTTTTATTACACTTATTCTTTGAAATATGTGCCAAGCTTTCTACTAGACACTGAGGATGCAGTGGTGAACAAGAGAGGCAAAGCACCTTCCTTTAGGAAGCTAGCATTCAATTGGAGAGAGTTACAGATTATGCACTGTTCTAAGGAAATAAAAGGGTGCTATAACATAGCATAATTGTGGTGGAGGGACAGATAGTTCTTTGGATAGGGGATCAGAGAAGGCCTCTTGGAGGTGGCAGCTTTTAAATGAAAACCTGAAAATGAGAAGAGTGCTAGCCATTCAAAACAACTGGGGGTGAAGTTTCTGCTGAGGAATAGTTTGTAATGTTCACAGAACACAATGAATGAGAGGGAGAATGGCATAAAATGAGGCCATAACATATCTTTTTGTATGTTTAAAGTCCCCTTTAAAGTCATGTGTGTGTGTGTGTGTGTGTGCGTGTGTGTGTGCGTGTGGGTGTTGTGGTGTGTGTGCGTGTGCATGTGCTTGTATGTTTAAAGTCCCCTTTACAATCATGTGTGTTCGTGTGCGTGTGTGTGTGTGTGTGCGTGTGCGTGTGTGTGTGTGTGTGTGCGTGTGTGTGTGTGTGAATTGTCCATTTGAGTCATTATCCTGTCAGATTTTTGCTCTTTTCCTCCTCAGTTTTTTCAAAAGTTCTTTGTTAAGGATATTGAGTCTGCATCTGTGATATATGTCACAAATATTTTCTCTTAATCAACATCTGTCTTGATTGTTTATGGTGCTTTTTGTTGTGCAAAAGGTTCTTAATTTTATGAGGTCAAGTTTATCAATCTTTTATTGCATCTGAATTTACATCTTAGTTAAAAACTGTTTACATGCACTCGGGTTACCTGCGTTGCCTTCTAGTACTTGTACATCATCCTTGCTTTGTATGGACTGTAGGATATGAGGTATGGATTTAATTATTTTTTTTCCAAATAGATGTCCTAACACCATTTATTTTTTGAAACTCTACCTTTGCCCTAATGATTTGAGATGTCACCTTTATACTAAGTTACTGTATGAATTTCAGTTTTTTTCTGGACTTCTATTTTCTTCCACTGGTTCGTTTTTTAATCCATGTACTGGGACCATACTGTTTTATTTTAAAGACTTATAGTGTGTTTTAATGTCTAGGAGGGCTGGTCCTCCCGCCTCTCTGGTAGTTTTTGTTTTCCAGTGATTTTCTGCTTTTTAAAACACTTTATTATTAATGTGTTTATTTCAGTATAGGACATTTTAAAATAAGGACTAAATTAAATTGACATATCAGGTAGAACTGACATCTTTATGATGTTGACCTGTCCTATCCAAGAATAAAAGATGTCTTTCCATTTATTCAAGTCCACTTTTGTGTTTTTCAAAAGTGTTTTAAAGTTTTCCTTTTAGGAGTTTTGCATACTTCTTGCTAAGATTATTCCTAAAGTGAGGCTTTTTCTATTCTATATTCTCTAGTTATTATTTATGTATATTAAAGCTATTGATTTTTGTTAATTTCATATCCTGCTTCCTTAGAGAATTTCTAAATATGAGTTAGGGTTGTTATTAATTCTTTAGGGTTTTAGATATGCTATCAGATCATCTTCAAATAGAGATAGTTTTACCTCCTTTTTTCCAATTTTCTTGTTTTTAGTTGATTTTTCTTATCTAATTTCTTTACCTGGTGCCACGAGTTACATGTTAAGTAGTGATATAGTAGGCAACCCTGCCTTGTTCCTGAACTTAGTAAAAATGTTTCTAGTGTTTCCCACCAAATGAATATTTACTTTAAGATTGGCTTAATTCTTTTTTTTTTTTTTGAGTGTTTTAACCAGGAAGGTGGGTTGAATTTTGTTAGAGGCCATTAAAACATGTATGGAGATAATCATAAAATTTTTTTCCTTAGATCTACTGATGGCAGTGGTGTATTAATGAAGTTTCTAATATTGAACCAATTTGCATTCCTGGAATTTCTCCACTTGGTTATTTCACGTTATTTTCTTAATGTGGTGCTGGACTCTGTCATTATTTTATCTGGTATTTTTGTATTAATATTTATAAGTGATAGTCATATATAATTTTCTTCATGGGTTTAAGTATCAATACTATACTTGCTTCATAAAAAGAATAAGAAAACTTTCTTTAATACTCAGCACTGTGAGATACTTTATGGTGCCATGGGATATCTGGTCTTTGAAGGTTTGGAAGAGTTCCCGGTGA